CATACCCGATATAGGCCCGGCCCTTTAATTACACATATATATAATATTTATATTTTGATATTATGTATAATTATATATCCAAATATATTTTTGCTAAATACTAAATATATATATAAATTACAAAACACAAAAAACATCTAAAACTCTTTCATGAGCTTTCTTGAGAGCCAATATTAGTAATGCATAACTAAATCTCTAATTTTTCTTATTGGTTGAGTAACTTTTTGTATTGGCATATTATTGGTTGATTTTTTTTTTTGGTCTACAAACACAAAAATCATCAAGCATATTTGGATTTAAATCACAAGATTATAAAAAAAAGTTTCAACTTTTAAAGATGTATTGGCTTATGATTGCATGTTTTATTACTATTTTTCATGCATTTTAAACGGATTACATATAAATATTGTTGAAAAAATTTTGGTTTATATACTTTTTAAGAACTATTATTTGTTCATGTTTAGTTTTAATATTATAGTCTTGTAAATGTTAAATTAGTTTTACAACTTAATAGTTATAGTAATTATATTAAGAAAATTCAGGAGTAATAAGTGAGCTTGGGCTAAGCCCGATTAAGGCTCACAACCCGAATATTATGTGAGCTGAGTATGAGCTTCACATTTACGAACCCGAAACTCATAGCCCGAAGCCCGAAAATGTCTCAAATTAAATGAGCTGAGCTTGAACACATCAAAGCCCGGCTCATTAGGCCCGATTGACAGGCCTACTTATGATATATATGTCTTCGGTATGTTAATCAAATTTATATAAATGTTTTATTAAGTGTAAACTACTAATTCCCAGAAGCATGTATATATATATTTGAACTGAACTTGCATGTAGTAGAAACAACCACTAGTAAATTGTGAAGTTCCTTATTTTCTGTTTCTTCTTGTTTCTAATAAATGTCTTGCTTTCGAAATTTGAGACCCCTAGATAAAGTTGAGATTTTTTTATTTTTGTCTTCTCGATATGAAACTACTTTTTTTTTCCCCATTCCTGTTCACTCCCATTTGTCATTTTGTCTTCTTGATTCAGCTAAGAAACTGCATTAAATTCTATGGCATCTACAGCAGCAACTTATGTTCTCTGATGCCCAGATCAAAATTTTGATATCGAGATGTATAGACACACCTTCATGTGCATGACTGTAGTTGGAATGGTTGTTCCTGATGGGGGCAGTAGCAATAAAAATAGACGAAATGTCGACCAGCGAGAGCACAATAAAAAAGGCTACTGCATGTTTCTCCGGGCAATGGAAATATGATGCTCTGACACTGCTATCCTGAATTAGTTAAATATGTTGCAGTGTACAAGAGTCCTTAAGGCTAATTTGGCAAATGTGCTTCACCTAACTGATGCGAGATTTGTATAGGTTGTGCATCTGTTGGAGCATGCTAAATTAAATCTGGATCTTAAATTGCTATTCTCTTTGCCTCTACATTACTTGTCCTTGACATTTTTTATAGATTGCATTTACAATATAACCACTAGACTTCTTAAAGGTTATTCATTTGCAGGTCTTCAGATTTTGTAGATCAAAATGCCACAAAAACTTCAAGATGAAGAGGAATCCTCGCAAAGTCAAATGGACCAAGGCTTATAGGCGGTTGCATGGAAAGGACATGACTCAGGTGAGCAAAATTAGTTCTGTAATCTTATTTCGCTTGGCCCACTTTTCTTATATTACCCTTTTCTTTAGCTTCATTAATGCTACGGTGTTCTTTTGTTGATGCAATGCAAAAATTTGTAGGATTCAACATTTGAATTTGAGAGAAAACGAAATAGGCCGGAGAGAAATGACAGGAATGTCACGGAGAACACCTTGAAAGCCATTAAGAAGATTGATAAAGTCAGAGTTGATAGGGAGGCCAGACATCATACGATGAGGTTCTTTCATCTGCTTGTGCATTCATCATACTTCAAAATCAGGTTCTGCCTTTTGCTCCAAGTTGCTAAAGACCATTCTAACCTCTGTTTACACACTGGCAGGATGAGGGGAAAGAAAACCATGGAGCAGAGAGAGGCAGCAAAGGAACTGGAACAGAGCATCCACATGGTCAAAGCTCCAGCTCTACTCCAACAGGAGCCATCTCTCACATTGCCAAAGATCAAGGTCAAGGTTTCCCAACAGCAATCAGAAGAAAATCGAATGGAAGAGTAACGTTACCACAATTGCATCCTTCTCAAGCCAAAATCTTACCAAGTATAGCAGATGAAGGTTCAAGAGGTCCAAGCTGGATTAGTTTTGTAGTCATTGGAGTTTTTATTAGAACTAGTGTGAGCGTATGTGCATTGCACAGCGCAAGTATTAGTTTTGTGGTATCATTCTTGAGATCAATTAAAAGAAAATTTTATTGATTAAAAGTGTTGTATGGATATCAATAGCTTTTATAAATAGCTAGCCAAGTATACTATGAGAGAATAGCGTCCTAGTTTTATTTGCAGACGTGATATTTTCAAAATCATTGATCTACAAAAATCCATTCCTTAGATAAATTATTTCATGCCTATAATCCCTACTCTTTATGGTACACCAATTAAGCACGACCAAATTGATATTGGTTTAATTATTTATAGAATAATAAATTCTTTTTACATATTTCCACTTACCAAAACTAATATTTGATTCTATTTCCTTCTTGAATGTAGTTTGTTCTCTTTTCTTTTTCTCAATATAATCCTTATAATATATTGAGAGAATGTAAGATAACTCTATGTTTTTGTGAGTGTCCTTCGTAGTAAAGCAACTACTCATTATGGCCTTTTTAAAAAAAAAAAAAAACTAAAAATGCAATAAATCCAATAATTATAAGGGAAAAAAAAAGAAAATTGGAACATAATTTGGACCTAACCGCGTGCGATGCCCAATCATTAATATAATTTAGCAAACCATGATTAGTTGGTTCACTAATATAATACAAGTTGATTTATTTAATAAGGACAGATTACTCATTTACAAAAGGTTGTGCGTTTGAATCTCATTGACTATAAATATGAGAACTGTGTTAATGAGAAATATTTAAATTTGTATTCATTGACTATTTATGCACGACAATAATTTATGTGTTGATTACAAATCTAAATATCTCCCAAGTCATCTACGCAAAATTTAGAGGGATATGAAAAGGTTTCAAAGCTGTAATCAAATCTATCAATCTAAACTCCTATATACATATATTCTGATTTAGGAATTTCTCTTGATCTAACTCAAAAGTTGTTAATTGTGATTTGAGGTACTTGTTGAAGGGAAAGGTTGTTAGAGGTAGAAATGAGTAAAGATGAAGTTTTGGACTGATAAAGGGATGTGGATGATTTCTGAGAGGGGATCGAGGATCCAGATTGGATTTTTTCCACGTGATTTAGTTGCTAGATGAAGAAGTAAATAATTCAATTTCATTAATTGTTTCTTGAAAATCTCTAACAAATTAGTTTTCAGAATACTAAAATTGAAAAAACCTTTTCACAAATGAATACAATTTTTATATATTTGTTTGCAGATACACACAGCGTACGTGCCTTAATCACTAGTGTTATTAATTTGTGTTCTTTGTCGAAAGCGAATATTTAATAAAAAGTTTGAATTATATTCATTGCCTACATATTGAAAAATTAAAAGCCTTCACAAAATTTAGTTTCAAAGCCATGCAAAATTGTCTTAACAAAACTTTAGATAAACAACTTGGTTTGTGAAGCATCTTCCTTTCTCCGGTCTACAGTATCTGAACTTGTATCTACCACAGGCCAATATATTGCTTGTGAGGATGCTTTAGATGGGTTCACCAATTGCAAGTAGGAGAGTCTTTTCTTTGAACTTGAATAAGTAAAATAAAAATTGTTTTCACACAAAATAAAGAAAATTAGTAAATAAAAATTAGTTTTGGTCCAAATTAAATGAAGGAGTAATTGGTCAATTGCTTCTTCCAACATTAATTATGTAGCTTATATAAGACTTAGCAAATTCAAACACAAACAAGAAAAATTTGTGACATCATACCTAGATCAAGTTTGAGAAAAATTTGTGACATCATACCTTTGCAAGTTCTCGATAGTTTTGAAAAACACAAACAAGAAACCAAAAGTCCATCCTCGTGCAAAGTTATTCAAAGGTACTTGCTAATTGAACATTTATCATCCTGTAGCAAGATGTTCAATTATCATCCGAAGAAGGTTGAAATTCAAGTTCTAAAGCCTATTTAGTACAATAAAAGGAAGTAATTAGACCATTTACTTCACAGATGGATCAAGTCCTTTAGTTTTCAAAGGATTAGTTGAAACTTATGCATCACTTTATTAAGGTTTGAATGTTAAACGGGTTCATTAATGATTTTCTTTTCCAGTTACCAACAAAAGTTGTTTAAGCTGAACTTTTAGTTCTTCTTTTGTGTCCCTAGTACATTTATTTTTCTTTTTTGTGCTGTTCCAAAAATTGTTGACATTGCTCAGATAGAATGATTTTGATGAACCCCTAACTGCTTAAGGTACTAAAGATTCGAAGTTTGATTCCGGGCAATCGCTCTCTTTCTCCCTTCCTCCCTTCCTCCCTCCCTCTTCATCTAATCCAGCCTTCGATCAAAATGTTAAAAAAAAAAAAAAGAAAGTTAGTTGTAAAATCATACTCTGGAAGGAAGAAAGCATTAAATACGATCTTATCTCGAGAAAAGTCTTACCAGAACTCCACATCTATGTGGAAAATGCATATGGTAAAGCTGAAATATTTACATGATCTTGTGGCCTTGGTTTCACAAACGACCACATTTGTCTTTCTGTACTTGCGCGAGGAAAAGAAAATTGAGAAGTCGCAAGTAGTTGTTGTAGAATCATTCATTGATTGAATTGTGAAGAAATAGTTTACAGAGATTTCACTGTGCATTTACTAGTTCAACCAAAGATAGCTATAAATAGGAATCTTTACCACATATTCATCCACAATCTGAGAAGAAACAACTTTTCATCTTTCTAACTAGCTCATATAGTTTGATACTTCCTTTCTGATGACCATGGCTTTTCGCTTCCACATAGCTGCAGCCATCTTGGCACTTGCTTTCACAATTGTCCATGCATCTGATCCAAGTCCATTGCAGGATTTCTGCGTCGCAGTTCCTGATGCCAATGCTGCGCGGTGGTAAACTTTCTGATCTTGTTTTGGAAAATTTCATGACTGTCTTGTTTGATAGTACTATAATGTTGCATGTTATACTTTAACTGATGTTTCATGATCTTGGTTAATGCAGTATTTGTCAATGGAAAGATATGCAAGGATCCAAAGCTTGTGGAACCCGAAGATTTCTTCTTTCAAGGGCTAAACAAGCCAGGAAGCACAGCAAAGCCACTCGGGTCCAATGTAACACAAGTAAATGTGAACCAAATTCCAGGGCTCAACACTTTAGGTGTTTCCTTAGCACGCCTCGACTTTGCGCCTTATGCTTTGAACCCTCCCCACATTCACCCTCGTGCTACCGAGGTCCTCTTTGTTTTGGAGGGCACTCTTGTTGTTGGTTTCGTTACTTCGAATCCGGGCATGAACATGAAGAATAAGCTCTTCACCAAGGTTTTGAATCCGAGATGTGTTTGTGTTCCCCAAGGCCTCATTCATTTCCAATTCAACCAAGGACATTCAAATTTGCTTTTTGCTGGTTTAGGCAGCCAGAATCCAGGAGTCATCACCATTGCTAATGCTGTATTCGGATCAGATCCTCCAATTGGCATAGAACTCCCGGACCAGGTTGGGGTAGTAGTACTTGGGCAATTGAAGGATGTTCTCCCATCCTAGTCTCTTGAATGCCGTAGAGACGTGGTAGTGCGCATCCACCTCCGGTGCCAGGTGCTTTTCAATGATAATTTCCTTATCTAAGCCTGCTTCGTACCACTGTCGATTCTCGAGTGACGTGAATCTAGTGGTGTCAAAATCTGGAAACGGCTCGTCGCGGCTAGTGGATGCGGTAGAAAAATTTGTGACATCATACCTTTGCAAGTTCTCGATTGTTTTGAAAAATACAAACAAGAAACCAAAAGTCCATCCTCGTGCAAAGTTATTCAAAGGTACTTGCTAATTGAACATTTATCATCCTGTAGCAAGATGTTCAATTATCATCCGGAGAAGGTTTGAAATTCAAGTTCTAAAGCCTATTTAGTACAATAAAAGGAAGTAATTAGACCATTTACTTCACAGATGGATCAAGTCCTTTAGTTTTCAAAGGATTAGTTGAAACTTATGCATCACTTTATTAAGGTTTGAATGTTAAACGGGTTCATTAATGATTTTCTTTTCCAGTCACCAACAAAAGATGTATAAGCTGAACTTTTAGTTCTTCTTTTGTGTCCCTAGTACATTTATTTTTCTTTTTTGTGCTGTTCCAAAAATTGTTAACATTGCTCAGATAGAATGATTTTCTATGATTTTGATGAACCCCTAACTGCTTAAGGTACTAAAGATTCGAAGTTTGATTCCGGGCAATCGCTCTCTCTCCCTTCCTCCCTTCGTCCCTCCCTCTTCATCTAATCCAGCCTTCGATCAAAATGTTAAAAAAAAAAAAAAGAAAAAGTTAGTTGTAAAATCATACTCTGGAAGGAAGAAAAGCATTAAATACGATCTTATCTCGAGAAAAGGTCTTACCAGAACTCCACATCTATGTGGAAAATGCATATGGTAAAGCTGGAAATATTTACATGATCTTGTGGCCTTGGTTTCACAAACGACCACATTTGTCTTTCTGTACTTGCGCGAGGAAAAGAAAATTGAGAAGTCGCAAGTAGTTGTTGTAGAATCATTCATTGATTGAATTGTGAAGAAATAGTTTACAGAGATTTCACTGTGCATTTACTAGTTCAACCAAAGATAGCTATAAATAGGAATCTTTACCACATATTCATCCACAATCTGAGAAGAAACAACTTTTCATCTTTCTAACTAGCTCATATAGTTTGATACTTCCTTTCTGATGACCATGGCTTTTCGCTTCCACATAGCTGCAGCCATCTTGGCACTTGCTTTCACAATTGTCCATGCATCTGATCCAAGTCCATTGCAGGATTTCTGCGTCGCAGTTCCTGATGCCAATGCTGGCGGTGGTAAACTTTCTGATCTTGTTTTGGAAAATTTCATGACTGTCTTGTTTGATAGTACTATAATGTTGCATGTTATACTTTAACTGATGTTTCATGATCTTGGTTAATGCAGTATTTGTCAATGGAAAGATATGCAAGGATCCAAAGCTTGTGGAACCCGAAGATTTCTTCTTTCAAGGGCTAAACAAGCCAGGAAGCACAGCAAAGCCACTCGGGTCCAATGTAACACAAGTAAATGTGAACCAAATTCCAGGGCTCAACACTTTAGGTGTTTCCTTAGCACGCCTCGACTTTGCGCCTTATGGTTTGAACCCTCCCCACATTCACCCTCGTGCTACCGAGGTCCTCTTTGTTTTGGAGGGCACTCTTGTTGTTGGTTTCGTTACTTCGAATCCGGGCATGAACATGAAGAATAAGCTCTTCACCAAGGTTTTGAATCCAGGAGATGTGTTTGTGTTCCCCCAAGGCCTCATTCATTTCCAATTCAACCAAGGACATTCAAATGCTGTTGCTTTTGCTGGTTTAGGCAGCCAGAATCCAGGAGTCATCACCATTGCTAATGCTGTATTCGGATCAGATCCTCCAATTGGCATAGAACTCCCGGACCAGGTTGGGGTAGTAGTACTTGGGCAATTGAAGGATGTTCTCCCATCCTAGTCTCTTGAATGCCGTAGAGACGTGGTAGTGCGCATCCACCTCCGGTGCCAGGTGCTTTTCAATGATAATTTCCTTATCTAAGCCTGCTTCGTACCACTGTCGATTCTCGAGTGACGTGAATCTAGTGGTGTCAAAATCTGGAAACGGCTCGTCGCGGCTAGTGGATGCGGTCTTCCGGCGAGACCGAGGTGGTGGCTCAGGCGAAGGAGATTCTTCCTCAGGCGACTCTTCATATGAGGGAGTGCGTTCCTCGCTTGAAGATGGTGTAGGATTACGAATACGAGCCCTCCTTGTGCGAGCCATAGTACCTATACACAAACAAGATAAGTATTTATTAGAAACGATAGAAACTTGCTCACACATGTTAAATAAGAATTTAAGAAAATTTCGGCAGAGTTTTCTCTTGAAAAAGGGTTAAACTCCCTGCCAGCAATTGACAATTTCAAGCAAGTAATATTCCTAACATTCCTCAAATCCAATTCCCACATTTAGAAAGAACATTATCAGTCATGTCACGCATAATGAGTCCAAACACTTGAGAATTTTAGCCATTTGCAAGAATGAACATCTCAAACACTTGAGAATATCTCCAATCCAATTCTTGTAAAGCCACATTTTCATATGCATTGCCAAAATTTTATTAATTTACACAATTGTCAACGTCTAGCTGTTTTGTCAAAGGAATACATAACACTCAGTATGCATACATATGAGTTCCAATTTATCCAAACAAATGCAACTTATTTCAAAAAGATAAGAGATTTCAAAAATCAGGGACTAGAGAAAAAGAAGAAAGGAAAGTGTCAAAAACACCAAAAGAAAGTAAAAAGGAAAACAAAGAATTTATGTACAAAAGAAAATAAAAAAACACCAAGAAAAGTGAAGTTTTTCTTTTTTTAAAGAAAGGTTGAAATTTTGGTCATACTCATCAATCAACATTGTCGCGTTTGAAGGTTGAAGGAAGTGAAATCAAAAAGTACTTCTGGGGTTGGAAAAAAAATAGAAGCATTAAACAGGATAAAATAAAATATCATTTTTTATTTATTAAGAAAAAAAAAGATAATTTACAAAAAAAAAGAGTTGAGGGACTAAACGAGCTATTTGTCAATTTTTTTTCCACCCAAATTGGTTGATTTGCTATCACTTGTACTATTGATTATAAATTAAATTTGTAGGAACTAAATGTATTCGCAATGAAACTTTGTGGATGAAATTTTTCCAACCACTAAATATTGGAGAGGAAAAGTATCATTTTCCCTTTCAAACTATTTTTCCAGATCGTATAAATTAAGTTTAATAAATATTATAATTGATAGATTAATACATATGATAATTCTCTACAAGTGTGCTTAATATGAATATTCTTTAAAATTAGTTCTTTTAGTTTTACAAGAAAATTTTCCTAAGTATTCAAGATAATGTCTGTTCAAGATGAACAAATCATATAAATGAGCAGGATAATTTATGATTTTAGCTTCAAATATTCTTTTTAACCCTCCCACCCCTTTTTACACCATTTCTACTCCCAGTTATCAAACCTACTTGTCGAACCATAAACCTGATTTTAACCTCAAATAATTCATTCATTTTGATGTAAATGAAAATATAAATTACTCCAATAATTAATAGGGTAATTAATGGGTTTGAAATCTGGATTTTAAATTGAATTGAGTGAATTGAAATTGGTTTCATCCAAAATTTTGGATAATTAATCAAGGGTTACATCTTCCTTTCTTTTTCAATATTTAATAGCTTAAATAGAACACGGCAATATCAAACTAAGATGATCAAGCTGTCACTTAGAAGGTAGAATTAACTTTGAACTTTCAAGCTGCCTATTCGCAAGTTCTGAGATGATTTTGGAAAGAAAAAGTCCAGAAATGCGCTGAGTTACACGGACAAGAAACAGGCAATGAAAAGAGGTCTATATATTTAGGTGCTATTGATTGGAATATTTATCACCCGCAAACAGGAATTATTTGCACAGACAGGAAATAGGAAATGAATGCTTGGTATTCCAGCTAGCTAAAATATGCAAATATAATTACATATCATAGGTTTTGCCAAAGAAGTTTGAAATTCAAGTTCTGAGCTATCTTTGTATAATTATCCGAAGTAATTAGGTCCTCTACTCCCAGACGATTACCATATATTTGATTCTTTCGTGCTAATCCCAGATGCTACTTTGTAAAGTTGGATTGAGCCTGCGAATTTCAAACTGATTAGTTGCAACTAATGCATCGTTTTACTGAGGTAAGAAAGTAAACATCTGGAAGCAAGAAATATCAAAGGCCATCTCTTCAAGAAAAGGTCTTACCGGTTACTTGGTCCGTCAACACCTTGTATCAGTATACCACTTCGTTGGAATGTCCTAAATGACCGAATCAGTCTTTCTATACTTGCAAGAGGAAAGAAAATGAGAAGTCACAGGTAGTTGTTGCAGAATCATTCGTTGGTTGAGTTGTACAAAAATAGATTAGGAAGACAATGTGGCATTTTTCTAATCGTTGAGATAAGAAAACATAATGACTGGTTCAACCAAAGATAGCTATAAATAGGAATCTTTACCACATATTCATCCACAATCTGAGAAGAAACAACTTTTCATCTTTCTAACTAGCTCATATAGTTTGATACTTCGTCTCTGATAAGCATGGCTTTTCGCTTCCACATAGCTGCAGCCATCTTGGCACTTGTTTTTACAATTGTCCATGCATCTGATCCAAGTCCATTGCAGGATTTCTGCGTCGCAGTTCCTGATGCCAATGCTGGCGGTGGTAAACTTTCTGATCTTGTTTTGGAAAATTTCATGACTGTCTTGTTTGATAGTACTATAATGTTGCATGTTATACTTTAACTGATGTTTCATGATCTTGGTTAATGCAGTATTTGTCAATGGAAAGATATGCAAGGATCCAAAGCTTGTGGAACCCGAAGATTTCTTCTTTCAAGGGCTAAACAAGCCAGGAAGCACAGCAAAGCCACTCGGGTCCAATGTAACACAAGTAAATGTGAACCAAATTCCAGGGCTCAACACTTTAGGTGTTT